ATTTAGTATCTTAATAAACACATGCTGGGCAGTTGGCCAAGAACTTTTAAAACACCTATGATAAGTTATAACTTACCACTTTTGATTATAATATCCTGCAACTGAGCTCAGGAATCTTCTGTTATAAATTTTGCATTGCTTTATAGGGAGGATAATAGTGTTGTTGAGAAAATAAGTTATATTCAGTTCTACTAGTATTTATTCTTTTTTGTTGACTGCATACTATTTAATAGTTTCCTTTGTACACTTCTTAATAGTGGAGCTTTAAGTGAAACTCTGAAAAACAACATTAGGATTCAAAATACAGCGGAAGATTTTATTTTCAGGGTCACAAGTAGCATAGCAAGATTTCTCTCAAACAATGACACTTAGTATCTCTGTAGTTGTAGGAATACTTTTGAAGTGTCATATTAAAACCAATCTCTTGGCCTTCAGGCAAAGAGAAGCAATTAGTCTTGGAGTTGTGAATAAATAAAAATCCATTTATATACCCGTCCTTGACACGTACCTTGCAAATCTTAGAAACTTCATCTAGTGGGAAAAGAAATGTTAAATCACGAACACCAGTACTAATCATATTGCAACGTCGCTTCCTAAAACTGTTTAGTTTATATCAATCTTTTAAGTATTAATTTATATGTATATATTCATACATATTGAAACACAACAACAGAAAGGCATTCACACACTTGAGTGAGAAGAAAAGAAATGAGTGAGTGCATATAGAGCTGTTAACGCGTACCTTTATTACCCTCAACATTAATACAGGCAAGAAAAAACTCAAAGCGCTCAAGTACATTGTCCTTTTCTCAGATACCGTAAGAACAATCCCGCACAAGTTACGTACCATGCGCATGCCTTTTTCATCCCAGGTGCTACCGTGTCTTTTCTTTGAGCTGCAAACAAACAAACAAACACAACAAATCTTTATTAGCCATGCATCCCATTTCCATGCAGCACAATTAAATGGTACCGGTCACAGATGTGTTGGGATGAGTCAGAAAACAACTTCTACTTTTTGTTCAGTGCAGTATTTTTAGATCTTCTCTTTCCTCCTTACTGTGCCTCAGTGCAGAAGCATCCTATTTTTACGATGCTTTGATTGCTGTTCGAGATTCTCATATTTATTTTTCATTTTGCCGTTAGTAATTCGCAGAGGAAGTAAAAATTGTGACGCCAAGTCATCCCAAATAGTCCGCCTGCACCCCTACAGAAAAGCTGAGTGAAACTCGGGCTGCGTGACAGGTCACCGAGTCTCAGTGGAGCTCGTCCTCCCCGCATCCACTTGTTGACCGGAGTGCTGGGGAAATGAGACTGCTTAGGCTACAGCCTTGCCCAGCGGTCAGGTGAAGCAGCCGTCTGGGGACACGCTTGTGTGCGGAGGTTATTTTAGAATAAAATCCACCCCTTTGTGCCACGCTCTCGTAGGCAGAGAGGGATTCCCAGCCCGGAGGTCAGAGGTGGGACAGGGACCCCCGCGAAGGATCGCACCTGGGCAGATGGGATGGTCAAGGAAAACAAATTTTAGTCTGTTCTGGATGCAAATCTCTCTGCTGACCTAGTTCTCATTCTCCTTTTCATTTCAGAAGCTCAGCTAAAAATCCATAAATTAAGGAAATTAACTGATGGAGCCTCCGGCATCTTTGTAAGCTATTTAAATCTTTAAATTTACAACATCTTCTGCATATATCAAGTAATTGAACTAACTGCAGGGATGTAACTTTAATGAGAAAATTTCCCTCTTCTCCTGTAGTTTGTACTCTAAAAAAAAAAAAAAAACTACCCTTAAGAGAAAAGTTTCTGTTTTTTCCTGCCACGGAAGAGAACTTTAAAAAAAAAAAAAAACACCTCCATTTTAGGGGGTCCTGCTCTGCCTTCCTGCCCCGCTTCCCGGCGGGGCGGCCCCGGGCCCCGCGGCGCGGAGGGGAGCGCGGGCGCGGAGGGGAGCGCGGCCC